GAGATATATTTTTGAAATGTGTGTTATTTATTGAGTAATTGTTTTATGAAGGTGACATTTTATGACAATGAATAAGTGTAGATGTAAAAATTGTGTGGGTAAGCAATTATTTTCAAACTTGTAGTTATCAAATTACTTTGATAAAGTTCTATTGGCAATGAGTTAATTATTGGAATAGTCAAGTGAATAAAATGGTAAAATACAAACACTTAAGGATAATTTAAACAAACTAAAACAGAAAACACTTAGAAGGGACGAAACAAACAATGAATTTAAAAGGGGAAGGACTTTAATGCACTACATCATAGTCTTGGGCACAATGAGTTTTTTTATTGTTGTATCTATTAGATTTTTTTTTTTAAATCTAATAGATACAACAATAAAAAAACTCATGTGCCCAAGACTATGATGTAGTGCATTAAAGTCCTTCCCCCCTTTTAAATTCAATGTTTGTTTCGTCCTTCTAAGTGTTTTCTGTTTTAGTGTGTTTAAATTATCCTTAAGTGTTTGTATTTTACCATTTTATTTACTTGACTATTCCAATAATTAACTCATTGCCAATAGAACTTTATCAAAGTAATTTAATAACTACAAGTTTGAAATAATTGCACACCCACACAATTTTTACATCTACACTTATTCATTGTCATAAAATGTCACCTACATAAAACAATTACTCAATAAATAACACACATTTTAAAAATATATCTCTGGAATAAGTATAAATAACTTTTAATAACACAATACTATATTACATCACTTACATTTAACAAACAATCTCACACATATCTCAAATTCATTGGATCAAATCTATCTTCATTCAGAATTTTCATTTCTTTATTCATTATTCTTAGAACCTCTTTGTTGGGACGTGTTCTGTCCACGCTAGTTTCAGAATTCTTCTATATACCAGCAGCTCGAATGATTCCAGTATTTTCATTGATGTTGCATTCAAGGTCCAAGATCTCATTCCATAAAATAAAGTCGAAAAAACATAGCACCTTGCCAACGTAACTCTTAGTTCCAGTTTTAAATCCGTGGTACATAGCACTTTTCTCATTTTGTTGAAATTTGCTCTAATCTTTTCTATTCTGATTTTGATTTCCCGACTGTAATAATTTGTGGAGTTAATCATTGTTCCCAGATATGCATATTTGTTCACTTATCGACGTTGGTTTCGTTTATTAAAAGATTCTCGTTATTTATTTGAGTTTTTGATATTCTCATAAATTTCGTCTTCTTGACATTCATTGTTAGACCATACTCTTTTCCATACTCTGCTATTCTGGTCACCAGTCTCTTAAGATCTTCAATGTTTTCGGCTAAGATCACAGTGTCGTCCACAGATCTAATGTTGTTAATGGGAACTCCATTTACCTTTCATTCATGGGGCCTCTTAAAACCTAATACTCGCAGAAAATTGAAAATTGGCTAAATAAAAACCCTGAAAGAGTAGTCACCTGCTATCGAATCTTTGCGAATTGCGAAATCGATATGAATGGTTTTTAAAAGAGCGGTATCTGCCCACTTAAGAAACACATATTTTGAGAACACGACTTTGCTATTTACCATCAGCGGAAGGTGGCCGAGTTCCATTTCCAAATCTACCATAGGCTGAACAAGAAAACCAAGGAACGAAAGACAATGTACTCTTCCGTATTGATACAATCAATAATAACTGCCCCAAAAAAAAGCCATAGAAATTAAGCAGCAAAAATAAACATAAAAAAAATGGAAAGACTATAAAGAAGAAAATAAACAAGACTAAAGGAGAATGATGCAAAACTGTACCCGAAGCACTAGAAAAAGACATTTGGGTGTGTGCCTGCAAAATTCTTTATGCCTTATAGGTTGCACGGAAAAAATAGATGCGAGATACAAATAAACATGTTCCCTTCTCAGGGCAAAGTGTAACAAAAACAAACCACGTTAAAAGAGACACCAATACATCTTACAATGGACGAACTAAGAGAGGTATTAGAAGCTTTAAAACTCAAAAAAGCATCGGCTCCATATAGGAAATCAAAAGTATTATTGCCTATCTCTAACAATTTGCTAATAATAGAAAATTACCATTCTTCTCCTCATTCCCTAAGCCCTTGTCAGGGAGTGGTGTGGTGACACTACAAATATTATTATTATTTTTTGTCTCCGTTGGCTGCGATCCTGTCTTATATGATGGCTTCATGTAGGAATTTTCCCACCTGAGTCTTTATTTGGTCTGCCGATTGTGTTGGAGATCTTCCTCTTGGTCTTTTGCCTTCTACCTTACCTTCTACTACAAATAGTTCCATGGTACCCGTTCTTATAGCTATGTTGCCGAAGTACATTAGGTGTGCTCGGTTTAGTCTTTTAACAGCCTGCCTTTTATACGAAGCTTTTCTACAATTGACAAATGTTGTTTCAATGTTATGTCCAAGACACATGCCCAAGGGCATTGACGAACCTGAGCTTATTATTCCTTGGTATTGTTCGGTCTTCCTATAATATTTTAACCAATTTAGCTGCTGCGATTCGGGCTACTGGTAGTCTACGCTTGATTTCTGAGAAGCAATCGCCATGGTTGGTTACCAGGGAGCCCAAGTATACAAATCTGTCTACCACTTTGAAATTAGCCACTTAACGTATGTGCAGTAGATCATTATTTGCTTTGTTAACAATCATTAATTTTGTTTTCTTAATAGTTCTGTAATTGCTGCATATGGTTAATAACCCTTTTTTATAGTCTTACCAGGTTAGTTACCTGTGATCCATGATAAGATGCATATATTTAGTACCACATCTACGCCAATCTCACCCGCTGTAAACAGACAACATAATATAGAAAAGAAAATATGAATTCCAAAAAGGGAAATCAGCAATTGAAGTAATGAGATAGGTAGCAGTTAAACCTAGTCTAGACTTAGATATACCACAATAAAACAGTTGCAGAACCTTTTACATACATATCTAACATTATGTGTCACAATATATTAAACATATATAGAAAGTAAACTAAAGTAATAAAAGTAAATACATATAAAATAAATAAATAAAAAATGTTGGAATACTATGAAACATCATCTGCAACAGAGTATTGGAGCTACAGTTTGGAAAAAGAGTGAAAACAGTCTCTTTTCATGCAATATAATACAAAATAGAGTATTAAGAAAAAGAGAAACAAGGCTCTAAACATGGGTTAAAAACTATACTTTATAAGAATAAATAAATATTAGTAACGAAGACAGACGTAGTTGTACTAAAGGTGGTATGCGTATATAGAACAACCTCAAGAATTGACGTGAAAGTGTTTGTTGTACTCAAGCAAGAAGTAGCAATCAAGTTATAGGTAAAGGAGAGAATGACTATGTACAAATAAAGAAGGTGGAAGATATCAAGAAGATCTGTGATAAAAGCAGAAACATTAGTGTGTAAGATAGTGGCAGAGGAAGTGGTCCGAATATAAAACTTAGCAAGTTAAACGAGGATGCTCATATCCAACATAGAGCCCTGGATAAGCTGAAAATTTAGACATGCTCACCTTCAATTTGTAATAAACTAGGTAGTTTTAAGATCTATACATAAAAAATGAAAATTGGTGCGTAATATGTGGAGTAAAGGATGACACAGAATATATTGTTCGTTTGCAAATAGTCAATTTAGCCAGGGAAGGAAAGACTTGATTAAAAAATAAAAAGCATTACACCAGAAAACATAGTACAGAAAACCATAGCTACCAAAAAATACTTAACAACAATAAAAAATAGAATATAAGGATATGCTACAAAAATAGGTAGAACTAAGAGAATAAAATACAAGAAATTGAACAAATAGGACTGAAGCAAAGGTTAATAAAAGTAATCCCAAGTATGCCGTAGGAGATAGAGTAGAGCAAAGAATAAGCAATAGGGTGAGCATGAGCTTCTCATCTAAAACAAATATGGCCTTGTCTTACAAATTATTATTAGATTAATTAAAACAAAAACCAAAAAAAAGATTAAATGGCAATATTTTAATCATTACAATATGCCGAAGGTACATTCCTTGTAAGAAGTTATAAAGAAAAAAAAATATGCTTTTAAAACTATATAGAGATGCACAAAAAATCGTTTTTAGAGAATGAGTGCTAGCTTTGGAAAGCTAATGAATCATAAATATTTGCAATACCTTTAAAACAAAACATTTTGTCTAATGCATCCTAGTAGTAGTGATTTATGGATGGCAAATATGGACAACGACAACGAACATGGAAAAATTCCTAAAAGGGATTAAAATCAAATGTTGAAAGACAGAAAATGTAACATAATGGAGAATAAAAATGACTCAAAGGAACAGCACGTGTGGGTTGGACAGAGGATTTTGTCTAAGATGGACAAAAATCGCAAAGGACAGATAAATGAAAGTCAGTGTTGGAGGCCTGTATTTGAATTGAATATAAAAAGGGCTTTAGATATATTAAATAGATCTTATGTATGTTCCGTACAAATTTCAATTGGCAAAAATTATAAATAAGTGGTAATACGAGCGGAGAAGGCAAAAAATAGTCTTTCGTAAGCACTATATTTTTCTTTTGTATGCAATATATTAAAATTAACATAAATAATTTATTGTTAAATATCGACCACCGAATAATCGAAATATAAAAAGAAACGATCCAAATATGGTGATGCTATTACCGTTACATTATTTTACTAATAATTTTTTTCCGTATATGTCCAAAGATGAAATTTTTCATCCCAAAGTAGGTAGTTAACACAAAAATCTTTAATCCAATAATCATTTTCACCTTGGGGACTCTGAATGCACTTACCACGCATGCATTACACCGAAATTTCGAAACTGCGTCGAAGAATCAGATATTTTCCCCATAAGAACGCCCATGACGTAACTCCCAGACATGGGTGTCATCTCCATCGCTTGGAGCTGTTTACAGCCGTATCGCAATTATGTTTTAAAGTTCATGTGTGACTATAATTATCTGATAAACAATATTACTTTTCGGGTTGACCCCAGCGGGAGTGGGGAAAGGATTTTTTAAAAATATAAATACCTTCAAGCTCAATCAAAACATTATAGTAGTAATTTGTTCATAAAATCGGCAAAATGAAATTGGTAGGTTTTGTGTAGTGAATTACTGTGATTTGTTAAGTGACAAACTTATTTTTAATTTATTGAATTTGAGTTTTTTTATCAAAAAACTATTAAGGATAACTGATTGTTTTGCATAATACTTGCGTACTCATAAATTTATTGAAATTATTTATATATTTTAGTTATGCTGTTGCTTCTACGATAATTATCTGTGGGACCTGTAGCAGTTTTTCCTTTTCTTATCAAATTTATCTGGTTTCATATCAAAACCGTTTGCCTAATTTAAATTTTTTTAATCTCAAAATCAAAACGTTAGATACAGAATATATTTGCCTAATTCGCTAAGGTTATTACTAAAATAATAAAAATGTTTTTTTTTTAGTTATTTGTTGATCTGTTATCCGTCCTCTTATTTGAGTTATTACTTCTCGTGCTTCTTAGTCTTTGTGAAAGACAACATATTGCATTTTTTGATATTATATTTTATTTAAAGCATATAATTAAAGCATCTTCATTATCTTTTCTGCTAGTAAAATTGTGACTATTTTCATGTTCTTTTATTGGATATTTATTTGAATTTTGTGTTTCTTTTTTAATCTTCATAATTTATTTTAACTTAATACCTTATGTAACCCCCTAATGCTTAATTCATTTTCTGTTTGTGTTTTTATTTTTTTAGTTTTTATTAACCTTTTCATTCTTCCTAGTAAACATTTCTGTAATAAATTATCTTTAAACCAATAATACAAATCTATAGCATCATTTCATTCCAATTACTTTTTGTCAAGTTTTCTTTTTCTTTCCTTAATTTTCTTTTTATTTATCCCTGATTCTATTTTATTCCTCATTATTTTTTTTTTTCGCTAATTTTTTCCGTACATTTTTACGCAAATATATAATTTTGATTTAGGCAAATCCACATTGTGTGGTTATATATTTTACTGAATTTTAAATATTTATTTTACGTTTTTTATTGAATATTTTTCTAAAATTGTCATTATTCTGTGTAATCTGTAGTGTTTTTTCTTATGATCAGATTTGTTGTTAATAATATTTTATTCCAGCACTCACTTGCTGTTTTAGCCTACATCACGTTTTTTTTTCACAAATTCACAATTTAAAAGCACCCCTTGAGAATTTTCTTCAATAGGTTTAGTATTTCAATTGCTATAGGTTTATTTATAATACATTTTTTTTTTATTTTTTTGAAGTTAGTTTTTCTATTTTCTTCGCCAGTTCAAATATTTCTGTTTTCTTATTTTGAATAAGGACTTTCTAATATTTTTTTGTCTAATCACATTTTTATGTCATAACAGAAAAGTTAATTTTGTACCTTTACGTAATTCTTCTATACACCAACAGCTTGAATGATTCCAGTTTTTTCATTGATGCATTTAAGGTCCAAGATTCTATTCCATAAAACAAAGTCGAAAACACATAGCACCTCGAAATCCTAACTCTTAGTTCCAGTTTTAAATCCCTGGTACATAGCACCCTACTCATTTTGTTGAAATTTGCTATAGCCTTTTCTATTCTGATTTTGATTTCCTAAATGTAATCATTTGTGGAGTTAATCATTGTTCCCAGATAGCAATATTTATCCACTTGTTCGACGTTGGTTTCGTTTAATAAAAGATTCTCATTATTTCTTTGAGTTTTCAATATTCTCATAAATTTCGGTCTTCCTGACGTTCAATTGTTAGACTATACTCTTTTCCATACTCTGCTATTCTGGTTACCAGTCCTCTGAAGATCTTCAATTTTTTGGGGCTAAGATCACAGTGTCGTCCGCATATTATAGATGTATGTTAATGGGAACTCCATTTACCTTATTCTAGCTGTTTCACCCTCAAGAGCGTTTTTCAGGATCTCTTTGGAGTAGGCATTAAAAATAATTGGCGATAATATGCATCCCTGTCTCACTCCACACCTCATTTCAATTGCTTCTGACAGCTGTTCGTTAACACGTACTTTTGCTCGCTGTTTACAGTATAAATTTGATATGATCCTGATCGTTGTAGTCAATCTTCGTTGATTTTAGGACATTCAATAATTGTTTATGTCGTACTTTATCTAATGCTTTATTATAGTTAATAAAAACATGTCCAGGCATCTTTGTATCAGTATATTAAGTGAAAAAAACAAGTTGCGAAAACCAAATTGTTTATCATTAACGTCTATGTCCAGTTTGTGATATGCCTATTCGGTTATGGATGACTTTAAGTAGTAACTTTAGCATATGAGACATTAAGCTAATGCTGCGGCAATCGCTGCATTCTCTTGCGTTTCTTGTGTTATTCTAAGCAGGTTTAAATTAAAAGTTGCATAAAACATAACTAACAAAATATAGACATTAAATAAAAAGTAAAAATCTGAAAGAATATTTGTCAATAAAAGATTTGATTTGCAACCAGGGTAAAAATTTTAAAGTCATAAAAGTCATCCTATTAATAAGAATATTAAATTATCTGTTTAAATTTTTAACACACTCATAATTTTATATAAATACAATTAATATTTTTAAATATATTTCCACTAGTAAATCATATTTATTTGTATCTTATTATAATTTAATATTTCGTTTGAATTTGATAGGTCTGCCAAAAGGTAACGACGTATGCTTTGTTGATTCGTCAACAGGTGGCGTTAAGAGCAAACATAATAATCAATTAGAATATTTGAATACAACATAATTTGTTAAAATTGGTGTAAAATATAAATAACAAAAATATTTAAATTTGAAAAATATAACTTAATAATTTAATTAAATAATTTGAAAAAAAGACTACAAAACTTTACGATAGTCTACTGTGGCCGCTCAATTTTACATCTTTTTTTGTACTTATCAGATTTTCAGACACTTCGTCATTCATCACTTTATTTTCTTTTGAGTACATCCTTTTCTTTTAAAATTTTTTAGTTCTCTATTGGGTTTGACATTTGTTGAAATTTTGTACATCCTATATTATTTTAACCTCTAGTTTCATGTCGTATCTCTAGTCTGGTTTATAATATTTCATCCCTTCACTCACTTCCTCTGATCTAAATAGTGATTTTTAATTTAAATGGTGTATGTATTCTAAAATAAAACCACATTTTGTATCTTTGCTTAATTTTGTTTTTATTACAAGTATATATTTTTTATATTTTTAATCTTATAAATTCTTTTTTTCCTGCGTCCTTCGTCTTTGCCTTATTTATGATTTATTTTTGTATGTTTTCTGTTAGCAGTAATGGGATAAACCAGCTGAATATTCCTGTATGTTGGTGATTTCTAGTACACTTTTTATATTTACATATTATGTTATGATCCATTTTGCATCTTTCATGATTAAACTTATGTCGTTTATTCTTCTCCAAATCGTAAAATAAATCAAATTCTTAGTAAAAAAGGTGAGAAAAATTTAATATGGAATATTTACCCTTTTTTTACAGTATTCTGTTCTTTGTTGTCCGTTTCATAATGTAGTGAGGTGTCTATTAAAAACATATTCCTGTCTAATTCAGTATTTGCATATACAGTTAAGTTGGTTAAGACCATGTATTAAGTGTGTATATACCACTCAAATCAATGTTTTATAAATATGTTAATTATGATATTAGGTTTATAATTATGAGTGACAAAGTAAGGTCAACTATTCATTTACTATATGGCAGAATAGAGAATAATATCAAGTAATCCAAATAACTAATTGTAATAAATAAAAAAAAAAATTATTGCTGAATTATATTTATCTCTTTAAATATTTATTTTGAGTAACTTTGTTTTATTTATATACATAAAATTTTTAATATTTTCTAAGCTATTGTACGATTTATTATAAGTATTAATACCAAATTAGTTGTTATTAAATTTTCATTTTACATAGTTTTCTCTATTCAATGTCATCTTTCAGTATGTCTGAATCATCCTCAATTTGATTTACCGTTTGTTTGTTTGATGTAGTTACATAACTAGTTTTTTTTAATATTGAAAATATTTTTAGGACACTGAAAAATATAGTATCTGCTAGTGTTGTCTTAAGCTTCAGTAATCTTAGTATTTTGCTATTCATCTCTTACAAATTTTGTATTTTAGCACAAGATCAATTATACAATTATGTTATTATTGTTATATTATTATTGTTTTTCGATGACGTCTTCATCTTTTAGTTTGGTTATAGGAATATTACAAATAGTATATTTGAAGATAGTGTACTTTCTACAATTTTTAACCAAATAGTTGCTGTTGCACATTTTTTCCGTTAACTGTTATCGATTTTTTTCTTCTTCTTATTGTTCCGCCTTCTAACAAAGGTGGGACTTCACTTCTTTAAACGCTTTCCTTTCTTTTTTAACGTAAAATATTTATAGAATACTGAGGTGAGTCCTATCTCTGATATTCCTCAGTCAAGATTTCTTCTTTCTTCCCAAGCCTTTTCTTTATGTTGTGTCATATTGCTGGTGTAATTGTTAATAAATCAAATATTAACATTATTTCTAAAGATTTGAAAAATTTCTGAGGAAGACTGGGACCTTAGAAATCTCTTTGCCCTATTATATCAAGAAAGAGAAACAAGATTGATTACTTAGGTGGTTTACTTTTTAATATGTGAAAGACTCAGAAGATTCAGTTCAGACCGATTGCTGTATATCTTTAGGTAGTATCTCCAAAATATTCGTGTTGAATATAAAAATGCGTTGCTACTTTTCCCTCTTAGAATGTCCTGGTCTTAAGTAACAGATGATTTTAGAAGCCCAATCTTTTTCTTGCATGTTTTGATATATTTCTTCATATATTCCGATAAGTGCAGCTGAACTTTAAAATAGTTTTAGAGCATTTTACGCCATCAGTTCTTTTACACTGATTCCTTATCATTATTCCTTATAATTATTTTTATATCAGTCTTAAACTTATATTTCTTAAAAGTTTTTTTTAATTAATATTTTAGATGACTTGAAATATTACAGAAAAACCACTCATATCTCATTCTACGATTTATTTTTTTAGTCGACATTATTTTTTTTTTCCTTCCTGATTA